TATATATATATATATTTCTTGCTCTCTAAAACATTCTTTTGACCTACTCTCACTTATGCCATCTTCACACAAAGTAGAAAGCATTTCTGTCACTCTATTGCCAGGTAAGTGGGTGAGAGCAAACCTCAGTGAGGCTTCACAACCACCACCACGGAGCAGCTGTGTGACTCCATATTTCAGTTCCTCCAATCTTCTCACAGAGGTTGATGTTTTTCTTTTCTTAATATGTTGGGATATAAACATTTTCATAGTTATACATAACAACATGATAGTCAAAGTGGGGAATCTAAGTTATAAAAATATATGTTGTTGTTTTTTATATTGGACTCAATGAAGTTATAATCACTTTGAAAGGCACATGTGGCTATAAGTCTGTTTCATGTATTTATTGCCTCTCCTTTAAGACGACGGTGATTAGCACTGACCTAGAGTGCCTACTCCGACATGCTTTCTTCATTAATATTCAGTGGTTCTGGGACGCTGGCCTAAGAATCATAAGTTAAGAACCTTTTTTTATGCTTGCAAAACTGATAAAAATCTAATAAATAAATTTAGGGAGGGGAAATCACTAAAAAAGTTTTTAAAAACCAGAATGGCTGAAAGGACATAAATGATTACAAGAGAAAATTTCATAGCAAAAAAAACACATGACTAAGTGAGAAAAATGAGGAATACTTATCAACTCTAAGAAAACAGAAATTGTGAGCAAAATTTTGAGAGAAAACTCCCACTATGAACCTTAGTGATTTTAAAAAAATATGTTGATAAGTTGAGTTACATTACTCATGTGTATTAGACAGTCCCACAATGTTATTGGTTTATTTAAAAGATGCATTTATTTATGGTGTGTCTGCTTAGTCTATGAGTCTACCCTCATCTTCTTGGTTATTTCTTTATATTTGAAATTACATAGACAATCAGTGTGGGCTTTACTATCCGAATAGGGCTTTTTTTTTTCAGAGCCATTGTGATCTTTATACTATTAGTCTTCCTTTTTAAACCTAAAACACATAGCCAGGTTAGCTTGTTTGTATTCTGTTTAGAAAGTGGGTATTTAATTAGTGCTACTTCTGTAAAAACACCATGTTGAAAGTGATTATATTTGTTATACATCACTTTCAACTATACCTTTAGCAGCTAAATCACTCTTCATCATTTATGTCTTATTAGCATCAAGAGGAAATGAGACAAAGTCACACCCATTTAATCTCATCTCAGGACTCTAGACTTGAGTAACTGTATTGATGGTGCTTATCTGTAATGTACAGTATTATTTTTAAAAAGCCACACAAGTAACGTTATGTAAGGTGGTCAGAGCACACTTACAATTTTCCATGTCATAAGCATACTTCAACCATAATTTCTAGAAGAACTGCACTAAAACTAGGCATCACATTTTGCTATCGTACTGTTTCTTAAAGGCATATGCTAGCTAAGATGTTTCTCCTCTTTTTTCTTTCTGTTTTTTTCTAAATATTCCTGGCAGGTACTAAGCACAAAACTATGTTAGAAGCCCGGAATGGCAGTGGAACTATCAAAGCCTTTCCTAGGGCAGGCGTGAAAGGTAAAGGACCAGTTAATAAGGGAAATACAGGCCTGCAGAACAAAACATTTCACTGTGAAATCTGTGATGTGCACGTCAACTCGGAAACACAACTTAAACAGGTAGGTGGCACATATTCTAGAAATGAAAACCGGGGACATTATGAGCAGGATGTCTGTGCTTCCTTTATTCCCTTTCTATTTTTTCTCCTACCATCCATTTATCCATCCATCCATCCACCCAGCCATCCATCCACTTACTTTCTATTCACTGTCCTTTTTCTTCATGCTTATTTTAGTTGCTGAGGAAATGCTATAATATAATGGCTTCTCAGACCTTTCAGAAATGATCAGAAGTGAATGTGTACTATTCTTATATAGGAAAAAGGGTGGTAGGTCTTTTTTCTACCAAGTTTCCCACTCAAAAGTGTTGATTTTCTTTAAAGTTCAAATTGCAGTGTTCCATGTTTAATTGCTTAGATATTTACATGCTACAACTAACTTCATACTGTGCTATTCTTTTATTTTATGTACTTCATTACATTATGTTATACTGTATTTCTAAGTCCTGCAGCCACCTGCTAAAGAGATGACTAATCCCATTACATTCAATTTTATTCTGAATAGGCTTCCAAAGAGATCCTTTATATGTTGCCAATTGAAGGCTGAGCCCTCATATTGTGTTGTGTTTTACATGCACATGTACTATATTTTACTGATGTTATGCACCTTAGTTACTTATCTTTAGAATTTTGGGGTTTGACATTTGGTTGTATAAATATGAGGATAAATATTGGTATGAAGATAAATACATGTCTTCCTGGGCATCTTTGTTTATCTGCCCATAAAATTTCTTCAGACATCCCTGCCCTTTGTTAACTTCTAAAAAAGGAGATTTGTGCAATGGTAAAGGAGGGAGGCTTGGAAAACAGAAGGTCCTTCTATTTGTTATATATATATATATATTTTTGTATATATATATATATAAATATATGTTATATATGTGTATTAAAATTGATAACATAAAAATATATATCCTCAAGGCATCACAATCCAAGGACAAAAGTGCATGCTTCATTTTTGTCTTTCTGAGACTTGCATGAAATAATTAATATGTGTCCCCAATTTAAAGCTATATTGGTGAAGGTTTTTGGGGATTTTTTTTAAGCTGTCATTTTTAATTGCTTTTCATAGCACATTAGCAGTAGAAGGCACAAAGACAGAGCTGCTGGAAAGCCCCCGAAACCTAAATACAGTCCTTATAACAAACTACAGAAGGCAGCACATCCACTGGGGGTGAGTATCATGTTTGCTCCCCAAAAGATCATAACCTTTAATGTCCCACAGTCTGCTCAACTTGGGTTGGTTTTGGTTTTTGTTGTTGTTAGTTACTTACCAAATCAAATAAATGAGAAGCACCTAAGTAAGGACAAATAACTGATTTGAGAGTCCAAACCCTGCGGAATTATTGGTTTCATAAGTTGTTTGGGTGTTTTGCCACCTTTAGCCACAGCCCAGTATCTTATCTTCTTGAGTGGGGTTCAGGCGTATGACAGCATGGGGAAGGGAAAAAACCAAACTCTTTTGAGTCAGGTAACAAACCACCTAAAATCTGGTTTTGACGTTAGCAGATACTCTTAGGAAAGAACATCAGTGGAAACATGTGTTTGCATCTCTTTTTTAATATCTTCAAGAGACAAAGCATTAGTATGATTGATACCCTCAACAGTATTTTGGATTTTGTGTGACACAGTCTCAAAGGCACGGCTTATTTAATTATTCACCCAAGGTCTGTATATAATGCCTGGGAAGTACCCTCTTCCCATTACTCCAAATGTAACTTTTCGATTGGTAAAGATATTAATACTGATGTCTTGACCTGGAATTTTTGTATATATGCTTTAAAGGGGAAATGTGAACCTCCTGACGTCTTAGGTTAATATTGATAAGCATGTGCTTTTTTTTTGTTTTTGTTTTTGTCTTCTTGACTAGACCATAGCTTTTATCAGAGACACCCAGGGCACAATGAAAAGTTAAGGACAACTGATTTATAGTATGTGCTGAATTGTGTATTTTGAAATCCATTTTCTTCAAAATAGATCTTATTAATACAGTTGACCCTTGAGCAACATGGGTTTGAACTGTACAGGTCCACTTACAGGCAGATTTTTTTCAATAAATACAGTTGGCCTTTTGTATCTGCAGGTTTTGTATTGGATTCAACCAGTAGTTTTGATCCACATTTTGGAATCTGCATATGTGGAGGGCCAACTGTAGTTAAGGTTTAGGAGAATTATATGCATATCTTTTACTGTGCTGGGGGGTGATCATTGCCCTAATCATCCCCCCCTTCCTCCAGCATCGTTCAAGGGTCAACTGTAATTGGTGCTATTGTGTGCGGTTAACACATGAAAATATAGAAGAAAATTGCAATCATCTATCATGAGATCTAAGTTATGAGTTGACCCTGTTAATTTAGTAGCATCACTCATTTTTATGCAAATGAAGTCACTTTACTCTTGTACAGAAGTGATTTTAGCTGCATTGCAAGGCTGTGAAGTCAGCACCACTAGTCCGAACCTTGAGTGCTGTCTCAGACCAGCATAGATGCAGCTTTCAGCAATCAAGGGAATGGTTCTTAAATAAACAGAGAAGTCAAGTCCTATTAATATTAGTGTTACTATTAGCATGCAAAACCTCCTTCTGAGCTATCACTAATGTTACTGTTTCCATACATGGGAAAATTCTCTCCACCAGAACAGCCATCTTACTGATGCTACTAGCCAGAGAAGGAACTGGTTTTGTAGAGTAGGACTGCGAGAATGCTGTTCCCATTTGCGCAAAGAAAAACAAAACATGTCAAACTTTGAGGGAAATAAGATTTCTTTATTTCTTTATTGAAAGTGGAATTTTGTTATTTTTTATTTTTCTTGATTAGCACCCCACACCTCCCTCTGCTACTCAGCTAACACACTTGGGTAGTCTAATAGTAACCATCAGCATTAATGAATCTCTCTTTAAAAATGTCATTTCCATGAGAGTTCATGTGTGTGTAAAGGGTGGAGTAAAAAACTCCTATGTTTTCTCAAGATGAATACTTTTTTCAGAAAGTCTATTTATCAATAAAAATAAAATAAGATTGCTGAGTACTTTTCTGGAGGGCTTTTCAACATGCTCAGTCGGTCATTTTCAGGGATCTTCCAAAGGAAAGATGATACACACTTTCCCTTACTTTTATTGTCAGTTCACAGGTATGAGTTTATCTTTTTAGATGTTTACGGCCATATTTTAAAGGCCGCCCACCATTTTGGATTCTAAGGGTGGACTCCAAACTTTTGTTCTACTCTTTTTTTTTTTTTCTCCCCCCTCTGTTGCAGGTAAAATTAGTATTTTCAAAAGAACCTTCAAAGCCATTGGCTCCACGAATCCTACCAAACCCGCTGGCAGCTGCCGCAGCCGCTGCGGCTGTGGCAGTGAATTCCCCCTTCAGTCTTCGAACTGCCCCAGCAGCAACGTTGTTCCCGACGTCCGCCCTTCCGCCGGCACTCCTGCGGCCAGCTCCTGGACCCATTCGGACCACCCACACTCCTGTGCTGTTTGCTCCTTACTGAATTCCAAACGGGAGTCATTGTACTGCAATAATTTTTCAAAAAACAAAACAAAACAAAACAAAAAAACAAAAGAGAACTATGCAGTGTTTATTTATAGTTTAAAGTATATCTGAAGAGCCAGGACTTTTGATAGTGAATTTAAAAGATTATTACAAAAAAAAAGAAAAAAAAGGAGGGAGGTTTAGGGATGGGAGGGCAGGGGTGGTATTTTCTCCACATTCAAGCATTCCTCTTGAACATTGATTGTTTTAGAAGTGATCTCCAGCATTGACTTGTAGTGGTGTCTAGAACTTCGGAAGCCTTTGTGACTGTGCTTTTGGGCACCTGTTTCCCTCTGCATTGTCCTTCCTGCTTTATGAGACAACTATATATTGTCTAAGGGCATTAACTGGTTCCAATGTATATATAATAATTTACCCTGTAGATTAAAATAATACAAAAAAAAGAAAAAAACAAAAAACAAAAGCAACACTGTGAATAGTAGTACCCGTGCTGGTCCACTTGCTATGACAGCAATTACTGGGTATTTATCCCAACAAAAGTAGTTACAGTAGATGTCTTGTAACACAATATAGTGCTGTGTCTCAATCCATGCCACTAGATTTTAAAGAATTGCAAAAGGTAGAATGAACAACTGTTTCATGCCAGTAAGCAGTCAAAAAAGAAAATTAAAAACAGACCACCAATGGTGTTGTGGAGGTCTCCTGGGTCCACGCTCTGCCCCTCCTATCCAACTCAGAGATGACTCGCTTCAGAACAATAGAACAGGGCCAAGCGCAGAGGTAGGGCAGATGTTAATGAAGTTGATTTCTTACAAAGTATCATTTTCCCAACCTGAAGCAACATTGCTGGAAATAGGGTAATTTTTGTAATGAACCTATATCTGAAAAGCAGGTAAAACCATGCATCATGGCTGTTTAAAAAGAAACCAGTACAGCACTTCTGTTTCATGGATAAGGGACAATCATAACCCAGGATGATAATGCAAAGTAAAGATTTTTCATGTTAGTTCATATCCAATAAAAACAGAGACTATGGTATCTCTGCATATCCCTTTATATCATACCAGTAGGGTTGTCTCTTAGGCAAAGGTTCCTGCTTTGAATATGATGGTAGACATTAGCTATTGAGGTGGGGTATTTGTTGTCTTTTTATTTCCTACTGATATGATATAAACAATTAATATATATTTAAATGTTAGTAAAACAAGAAAAATGAATCCGAAATAATTGCAGACCAAGGATATAGTGTTAAAAAAATACTGGTAAGATGCACTTGACCATCATTTCTCTAGTGGAGTTGTGAAATACAGCCTTTGATATGCACCGTAAGGCTGAAAGGCGTTGATGTTTTACCTTTAAAACAAGATTTATCAGGGGTATATATAAATATATGTATATTGTATATATGTTAGAAAGATTAAGAGAATAACTTATAAAAAGAAAATCTATATAAAATAATTATATAACCATCCCTTGTTACACGTTATCATTAAGTTGGTAACAAATGGCATAAAAATAGCTGTGCCTTTAATTTGTGATAAAGGCTATTTGCTTTTTCCCATAGATAGCTAACATATACCTATCACTATGATGGGGTTCGATGCAGCCAGTCTGTTGCATTAATAAAAACAATGACACTCAAACTTAGAACACTGATAAAACGTGTACAAATCAACCCACATGATTTAGGTTTAGAGAAAAAAAAATATTTTTGAAAAGGTTTTGTAAAGACTATTTAAAAACATAGGAAGGGCTGGATATGACCTTCCTGAAACTGCTCTTATCTAAACTGAGAGGTCTAAAGATACAAGGTGAAATCATTTGAGACATAGGTATTTAGCATTTGTCATTTTATATTTAAGAAACACCCATAGCGTGCTTGGTGCTCAACATTAACCATGGTCTTTGAAGTTCTCTACCATCTAGCTATAGACATTTGTCATGTAAACATATCTCTAAAGCAGGCGGCTTTATACAACTTTTGTTAAACAAACAACCAAAACACAAAAAAAGAAAAGAAAAAAGGGACAGAAGGGAAGAGGGCAGGCAAGCAGAAAGGAAGAAGAAAAACTATTTCATCAGTCTTTGCTAAAAAGAATTTTAAATTATACGTCTTGGTTAAACATGTTGGTTAGCATTAAAATTTGGTTTTGAGAGTTATCTGGTGATTTTGCATTTACCGATATCTCTCCTCTCTGGTCTTCGCAAGTGTTTGTTTTCACCCACGCTCTGCTAGTTCAGGCAGGTGGAGAGTTCATCATGATTTGTTGTTTGGGACTGTGTCTATATCTCATGTGACCAGCTTCTGACCATTTTGAATTTTACTTTCCTTTTTATGAATCCTTATCCAACAATCTACATCTGATAAGCCTCTCCGTACTGTTGGAGAACTCAGTGTTAATTGATGCAATCTCACTACACGTGCTTTCCCTGCTCCTCCCTGTTTTCACTAAGGCAAATGAGCCAGTCCACTAGAAGTCAGGGCCTGTGGGATACAAGAGTCCTGGTTCACAAGGTGAAATGATTTGCTGGGAACGAACAAATCAGCCATATTTTCTCCATCAGCCATATGAAAAAAACCCCAGAAATACGTAAATCCTTTCTGCCTCACTTCGCTATGGAACCATTTTTGTTTAAATGGTCTCTTAAATTGGAGTTGTAATCATCAGTTGTCTTTTACTCACTACCTAATAAAGGATGAAGCCTAAGCTTAGAACTTACAGTGGATTCTCTGTGAATTGTTTCCTCCCCCTCCATGTATTTATCAACACCAGATCAACATCTATTACAGTTCAGACTGCTATAAAGTTATATATTTTCCCTTAGGGAACTTTCTTCATGAATAAGGATCAATAATTCAGACTGGTCAGCAGTGGTGCTCTGAAGATCCCCAAGGGTGGTCTGTCTTTATGGTTTATATATGCCTTCCCATGCATCACAGCCATGACAAGCAAGTGATAGAGAAAGCATCTCTGATTTGAAACAAATATAAATGCATTGCAGGACTCAAATGCCTCTGGAAAAAGCATTGTTGCACCTCATCCAGTTCATCCAGACAAATGAGAAACAGTTGTTGGGGCGGTACTGTATTTCTCTTTTGAGAAAACAGGTGATTACACAAGATAAATTGCTCCTCTCGTTGGTCCTAAACTTGGAAGAGTGGTTGTTCTATTCACATAAGCAAACACAGTTGGCTTTCGGCAATTTGTATCGGCACTGCCTCATCTGAAAGGATGTAATCTTTAAATACTATGGGGCTTTCCCAAATCTATTGTAATAATTCACTGCCATTATCAGAGATATAATTTGTTGTTTTTGTTTTTGTTTTTGAAAGGTGCTACATATTTTACTGCCAAGGAACTATTTAGCCAAGAGAGTGTTTATACTTATTTGGAAATTAAAAGAGCAATAAATCACAAAACAAAGGAGTCAGAATTAAAAGACAAACTTTTAAAAATAAGATCATTTGAACTTTATTGTGGGTGTGCCCATGTAAGTTTCTAAGGCACAGAACCAATACGTAACAGACATGAACATTATATTTCAATTACATTTTTAATTAATATATTCATCTCCGTACCTATGTAACATCTCAACTTTCCTGAAGAAGTCAGATTACAAAGCTAAAAGATGACTCAAGTGGATTAGAGACGTCGTCCTTCAAATCTGAATTGATGTATAGAACTACCTTTCTACTCGTAAGCATGGATAACATTGTATTCATAACTATTTGTATACAGGAAAGCATTGTAAAGTGGTGGAGCAAACAATGAGCCTGAAAGAAGTCAGTTTATTGTGGACTTAGTCTCTGATCAGCAGGGTAACAATTGAATAGTCAACTTATGCTTTGCCCTTAATTTCTTCATCAGTAGTGGGTGAGTAAAGGCTGAGCTGGTTTACTATCTCTGCATTTTAGGGACCACTTCTCTTGTTCTCTTAGGAATAAAACTGATTTCTTGTAGTGAACTACACAGCTATTCAAATATTTGCACGTGTCCAGAAAAGTGCTCTGTATTCCTTTACATCCTGAGTGTATACCACACAGGCCATTCACCCGAATAATCAGAACGTAGACTTTACCAACAATTACCAGAAGAGTTGCTAATTGACATCAGACTTCTAACAAAGTCATTAAGGATATGCTACACCTCTTTTCTTAATCCATAACATAATAAATGCAGAACAAAACAAAACCCAATAAAAGCAATAGAAATTTGGCGATGTGGGTGTGGAAGGGAGTAACAGATTTAAATGTCTCATGCAATTTCCTTTTTCTGTGCTTTCTCCGTACAGTAGAAGGGACCCCTTGCTAATTCTGCCCTGGTTTTGCAGGTGTCTTAGCTAATTGCCAACTTATTAAGACCACTTCCCCACAGCTAAAGGATATTAGTTATGTCTTCTCCCCGATGTTACAAGAGTTACAGGCATGCCTTCTTTTACTGCACTTCACTTTATTGAGCGTCCCATGTGATGTGTTTTTTACAAATTGAAAGCAAGACCCTCCACCAGCAAACGGATTAAGGCTTGCTTTATCGCGAGACCTGCTTTATTGCGGTGCTCTAGAACTGAACCCACCATATCTCTCAGATATGCCTGTATTTGAGTTAGTCCCAACAATGAATGTTTTACATATTGCTGCTGATTTTCATTAAAAGGGAAGACTTATTTCTGGAGCACCTCTTCTGGTCTTTCTAAGGTATGTTTCAATAACTACAAAGGCTACTATCAGACAGTGAAATGGATCATTTAAATGGCAAGTCTCCATTGCCTACTTACTAGTTCTGAGAATGATATCAGGGCTTTCAGTGAAAGATGGATATGTTGATATATCATCCACAGGAGGCCTATAAGGTTGTTACTGCCAGGCATGGATTTATACCTTACCAGAATTATGATTGGTGGTGGAAGGCAGGTTCTGCTCAGGAAAAACCTCGTTATGTGCTATTTGATGAGAAGCTCGAGCAGGTTACAAAAGGTCACAGTTTGGTTGGCTCATGGATGCTCAGGTGTGAAAGGTCCAAGAATTACCTTCGATCTGAGTGTCTTTTTTTCCCTCTTCTCAGGTACGGAAAGCCATCCTTCTTGGATAGTCAAGTTGACTCTAGAAACTACCAAAATACATTTGAAGTGAAATCTGATGATTAAGATGTATGATCAAATGGAGTATGGTAGAGTTTGGTTACGTTTACTAAGACTTGAGAAAATGGGATCATATTCTTTTCATGACTGACAAGTCAGCTCTAAAAGCAATTCCCGAAGAGTAAGACCAAAATGATTTGTGAGCAAAAAAGTATAACTAAAAGTACTTGTACAGTTCTAAGGAATCTTAGTCACTTTAGGGTTTTGGAGAGGTTGATAAGTAGATTCAATATCAAGGTACTATGCTCTCTAGTAACAGTATTATGCTAGCAATTTTAGTTGGAAAATGCATTTTATCATTTCATACAAGCTACTGTCTTTAAGCATAGACGTTAAACCTTACCAAATCTTCAAAATCAGGTAGTGTGCAGACATGGTAAAACAGGATTAAAGAAAATTGGCAAAGACAGAATCCTTTAATGGGGACCCAGATTGTGTTGGTTTTGTTTTGTTTTGTTTTGGTTTGTTTTTTTTTGTTTTTTTCCAGGAAACATTTGTTGTTGTTGTTGTTGTTGTTTTAAGTCACTCAGCTATTTGTCCAAATCTCTTGAGGCATAAATCAATTGAGAAATGATGTTGTTATGGAGTTTTTAAGTCATGGTGAGATTGTATGGAATTTTATTAATCAAAAATGACAATGTAGTCTTTATTGGATTCTTGTCATCTCAGTTTAAAATACATTATTGTATAATTTCAGCATAGGACTCTAGGACTAGGGGAGGTTAATATCGGGTAAAGAGCCTCCCTTAAATGCTTTGTGTCTTTTGTGGAGTCTGAGCTAATATTATTAGAGATAGAAAAGAAATAAAGTTCTTGAGATTATGGAATGTTTAGTTTTCATGAAAGAGTTAAGAAGAATACCATGGGATGACATCTGCTTTTTAAAGGGATTATGGAAAAATGTGTGGAAGTGTTAAACATTGGGGAAAAGCTTTGTGGCCAAGGGATCTGGGCACAAGATTGATGATTACAGAACAATGAACATGGTTTCTGGCTCAGCACAAATTATCTGTGAGGAACCTGGGCCAATTCACATGTTATTTTGATGAGTCCCTTCTGAAAAAAAAAGAAAGAAAAATAGGGTTAATGAGATTACAAAGATATGCTTTTAAAAAGGCTGAATTTAGTAAAAACAAGTCGTTTGCCTCTCAAAATTGGTTCCAAACTTTTAAGCTTAGTTCCTGTAAGTTTCAGTAAAATTGTTTTAAGATGTATCTTATACTTACAATGTTTATATTCCTACATATTTGAAATTAGGCTGATATGATGCCACAGCAAAGTCATATGTAGCTATATTAGACAATTTAGTTCTGAAAAAAAAAGATGGATTTTTTAAAGAAATATATCCTTATCTATATAAAACTATATACTAAGAACATTGTTTTTCTTGGGACATTTGTTAGTCATATTTTTAAATATTTCTTTTATCAGTTGAAACCTTATGTGAATTCAGCTAAGGTTTCCTTACTTAATTGTAATCAATCATTTCTAATATTTAATTTACTGGAATTTTACAATTATTTTTAAGTTGCCTCCTAAGAATGGTCAATGGAAAATTTAATATTAGCCAATGTGTGATGAAATATTCAACTCTCATGAACACTGGAGGCTTGGCTATTTTTAAATGGTTGTTCTTAACAATAGTACTACAAACCAACCCTATCAAATGAATTGAGTGATGATTATGCTTATTTACTGACATGAGCCAATTTGAGCCTTTGTCTCAAGACTAAAAATAGCTTAACCCACATGCATATACTGACCACAAATTGAAGGCAGTGTTTGTTTTTTGACAACTAGGCTTCTGATTAGAAACTTTGGCATTAACATTCAAAAAATTGAATAATATTTTGAAATTTAAAAAGATAGATTATGGTTTATCCCATAGTTTTGTAACCCTGCAAAAAAACTACCAAAGGGGAGGGAAAATGTGATTTTTCTTCCCTGAAAATCTTGTAGCTTAGAAAACACAAGCAGGGCTTTGTCCAATACCAACCACTTGCAAAAGGTCTTATAAGGTTTTACCTTATAACAATAATACCTCATATTTGACAGAGCATTACCACAAACATTGAAGAGGTACAGTAGGCATGTCTTTCTTGATTAAAAAAAAAGAAAGAGAGAGAGAGAGAAAGCAAGGATTTAAAGAAATTGACTTGCCTATAGTCACACAGATATGGGTCTCTGATTCAACAGTCAGGTACACTGATGCCACATTGTTATAGGACTAGCGTGTTCTAGCTTGTTCTGTAGACTTGGGAGCTTGATTTGAGCAGCAGAAGCCAAAATGCTCAGGATGCAAATTTGTGTAACCTTGTTTTCAGCCCATGTGTTCAGTAACCGACTTTGCTCTTTTCGTCCTGCCAAATCATGCTGAATAACCTTTAGTCAGAGGTTTTAGATATCCCCAGGTGGACTTAGACTGTTGAGATGGAATTTTTTGTGTGTTTTATATTTTGATACTTGAATTATGATTATTTGTGTTGTTATTATTTATTAAATTGCAGACCCAAAGAACTGCTCCTCATGTGCCAGTAAAGCCCTAAATTTAAAATAATAATCAGGACAAGTTGCATAATTT